CCCGGCCTGGCCCCCTCACCCCCAGCCTCCCGCCCGCAGTGCAACCAGTTCTTTGACCTCCTGCAAGACCTGGTGGACCACGTCAACGACTTCCACGTCAAACCTGAGAAGGACGCGGGGTACTGCTGCCACTGGGAGGGCTGTGCCCGCCATGGCAGGGGCTTCAACGCCAGGTGGGCACATTGCGGGGGGGCTCTGGGGGCCGGGGGGGGGGGGCTGCTCTGAGTTGCTGTGTGGACACAGGAGCCCAGCACCTGGGGCTATGCAAAGGGAGGTCTCCATCCAGCCAGCCCCTCCAGTGTGGGGTCATGGGGGGACCACCTCATAGCCAGGGCATGGGGGTATGGAGATGGGGCTGATTCTGCCCCCCCCGTCTAACATCAGCCCCCCCAACCCTGGCAGGTACAAGATGCTGATCCACATCCGGACGCACACCAACGAGAAGCCGCATCGCTGCCCCACCTGCAACAAGAGCTTCTCCCGCCTGGAGAACCTGAAAATCCACAACCGCTCGCACACAGGTCAGCGCCGGGGCTGGGGGGGAAGGCTCAGGGATGTGGGGCCACAGGGGGACCCGGTGGGGCCGGGGCCGTGTCCCCCAACCCCCGGCAGACCCTCTGCTGTGGCGTCCCACAGGCGAGAAGCCCTACATCTGCCCCTACGAAGGCTGCAACAAGCGTTACTCCAACTCCAGCGACCGCTTCAAACACACCCGCACCCACTACGTGGAGAAGCCCTACTCCTGCAAGATGCCGGGCTGCCACAAACGCTACACCGACCCCAGCTCCCTCCGCAAGCACATCAAAGCCCACGGCCACTTCGTCTCCCCCGACCACCCGGAGATGCTCAAGGTCCACCACCCGCCTCCCAAAACGCCCCTGGGCTCGCCGGAGGTGCCCTACGTTAACGGGGCGCAGCTGGTGATCCCCAACCCCGCCGCCCTCTTCGCTCCCCCGGGGCTGCCGGCCTTGCCCATCCCTTTGGCTCCGGCGCCCCTCGACCTCAGCGCTCTGGGCTGTGGGGCCGCCGGGGGTCTGCCCGCCCTGCCGGGCCCCGTCCTGCCCCTCAACGGTGGCCCCTTGAACTTGGCCAAGAGCCCGCTGCTGCCCTCGCCCTTCGCCGCGGGGCTGGGGCTGCCCGTCATGTCGCTGCTGGCCAAGGCCGAGGGGGAGAAGGGCGGCGGGGGAGAGGGGCGACCCCCCAAAACCGGCAAAGGGTCGGAGAGCCGGAAGGAAAGGGGAGAAAGGACGGAGCCGGGGCGGCCGCCGCGGGTCCCCCCTGAGAGCCTGGCGCTGCTGCCGGGGGCCGTGCTCGACCTCTCGGCCGGCGTCGGGTCGGGGGGCAGCCCCGAGGCCCTGCCCCCCGGGTGGGTGCTCATCCCCCCCGGCTCCCTGCTGCTCAAACCCGCCGCCGTGAATTGAGGGGGGAAGCCGGGGGTTGGGGGGGGAAGGGGGTGTCTGACGATGCCCGGGGCTGGACGCCGGCCCAGAGGGCAGATTCTGCTCCCAGAGGGGGGTGGTGGTGGAGGGGGGGTATCACCCCCTCCTCCTCGCCCCCAGCAGCCCCCCCAGCCCTGGCGGGGCCTCGTTCGCGCTTTTAACCGTCACGAAAGAAGAAGGGACTCTTCTGAGAAAAGCAATAATCCCTGGGCGGCCCGAGCCAGCTGCCACCCTGCGCCGGGGGCAGCCCGGGGGGGGTGTGTGGGGGGGTGTCCCCCCTGTTTCCCCCCCTTCCCCCCCGTGACCCGGGCAGCCGGAGACACCGCTATTTATTTCTCGACCAGCCCCCCCCCTGCTCCGACGGGGCCCCACTTGGGCTCATGCGCTGCCACGACTCGGTGTCTCCCTGCCCGGTGCCAGCATGGAGGGGGGGCTGCAGCCTCCCACCCTGGGGACAGTGGGGAGGGGGTGACAGCTTGGGGACCCCCGCCACCCCAAGATGTGCCCGGCAGTGCCCTGGCTGGCCGGTGCCACCGCGGGCAGTGCCGTGGCTACGGCACCTCCGTGCTGGGCCCAGCTGGCTGGGCACGCACCGGCCCGGTGCCCGCTTGCATCCCTCCCGCTCCACGGCCGCCCTCGTCCCCTGCCACCACCGCCACCTCCCCGGCAATCCCCGTGACAAGGCACACGGCCCCGTGTGCCGCTCGCCGCGCCGGCTCCGCGCCGGGGCAGAGCCACCCTGTTTAGCTACGTTCATACCTAACCATGTACCGCAAGCGCCACGCAGGCAGCGCCGGCAGGACTCCGGGCACCGGCAGAGCCGTCGCCGGTGGCCCGTTGCCACCGGCCAGCCAGGCACCCGCTCCCTGGGATGCACCAGTTCCCCCATGAGCCCCCCTCCACCCCCCCAGCACCACATTGGGGCGGGCAGGATGCGGTGCCAGGAGCTGCGGTGCCAGGAGCAGAGCCCGGAGCCTCCCCTGGCACACGCAAGGAGGGGGGGTCCCACAAACCTCCCGCTGCCAGGCAGGACCCCCCCCACCCCCCTGCTCACGGCTTTCTCTTGGGCAGGGTGTGTGTGGGGGTTCTCCCTGCTCCTGCCCCCCCCCCGCTCGAAC